TCTCCAGTTCAACTCTGGATGCTCCCTGTATCTCTGAATGTGGAAATCATAAACCTTGTTTGGGAAACATTACAGATTTTTGTTGTTTTTAAACTTTACAAATTGCCACAAAATTAACCATAAATTAAAAGGAGCAATAACAACTTTTTTCAATTATATCATTCTAACATAACACGGGGGCATTTCTCAATATCAAAACATTAATCTACACATCAAAGTGTCAATTCTAATTCTAAATGTGGATGTACTTTTTGCAAGAGAACAATTGTTGACCATGTTTGTGGCTTTTTTTTTTTTTAGTTTTTCTTGAGGTATATTTCAAGAAGAATACAACAGAGGTGAAATGACTGTTCCTAAATTTTGATAATGTTTTCTTATGCCATTTTTTTTTATTGGTATTGCGAATGACAAGAATCTTTAATTGACTTGACTTTATTATGACAACTCCAGTCAGTTAAGGACTTAAATCTCCTGATAGACTCGTCTCGCTAGGAACTTCAAAATATTAGGTTCATAAAAACAATTATGAAATGTTTGAGATAAACAAATGAAGCTGTAGATGTGCTAATTTGAGCAGGACAGAGTCAGATAAAAAATTAGTAAATGACCATGGGGGTATAGCTCAGTGGTAGAGCGTTTGACTGCAGATCAACAGGTCTCCAGTTCAACTCTGGATGCTCCCTGATGTTCTGAAAGTGGAAAACAACGACAATTATTGAAAACCTTTACACATTTATTTGCTTTTTAAACATTCAAAATTGCCACAAAATAAGTATAAATTAAGGGAAAAAAAACAACATTTTTCAATTATAATAATCTAGGATGACACACAGTGAGTTTCTCAATGTCAGAGCATTAATCTAAACATTTAAAACTCAATTCTAATTCTGAATGTGGCCTCACTTTTTGCAAGAGAACAATTGTTGATCATGTTTAGTATCTTCATGGCTTTTATTGAGTTTTTGCAAGAAGAATACAAAAGAGGTGATATGAGTTTTGTTAAATTTCAATATTGTTTGCAAATGCCATTTTTATATGGTAGTGTAAATGACAACAAAGAACCTTTCCTTGACTTGACTTGACATTATTATGATTAACTCTGACTCTAGTCTGTTGTGGACTTAAATTTTCTGCTTGATTCGTCATTTTTTTACCCTCAAAATATTAGGTTTTTAAAACAACTAATAAATGTGTGAGATAAACAAATGAACTGTAGACATGTTGATTTGATTAGGACAGAGTCAAGGAAACAAGCTCAACAGGACATGGGGGTATAGCT